ATCTCCAGCTGCAAACCCATCCCCATCCTCCCCATGGCATCCCCAGGGCTGGCTGAGGATCTGAATCGCGCTATCAAAAAGAGCAAAAGGCAGCGGGGATGGGCAGGGGGGGGAAAGGATTTTCCCACAGCATCCGACTGCCACTTCTCATCTGCCTCCCCCGGGAGCTGGCAGGGCTGGTGACAGGGACGTGAAGGCTCAGCAGCCGCCCAAGTGCGGCGGGGCTGGAAAGCTTGGAGAGCAATGGCTGTGTCACGGGCTGCCGTGTGCCCTGCTTGCTTAAAGCCATCACCCAGAAAAGACAGGGGCTTGGCAGGAGCTCACGGTCCCCGGGGAGATGTAGGGAGGGCTGGGGCATCTGGTTCTGGGCTCCCCAGTTGAAGAGAGACAGGGAACTGCTGGAGAGAGTCCAGCGTAGGGCAACAGAGATGATGGAGGAGTTGGAGCATCTCCCTGATGAGGAAAGGCTGAGAGAGCTGGGGCTCTTGAGCCTGGAGAAGAGAAGGCTGAGGGGAGACCTTATTCATGCTTATAAGTATCTAAAGGGTGGGTTGAAGGAGGATGGAGTTGGACTCTTTTCAGTGGTTCCCAGTGACAGGACGAGGGGCAACGGGCACAAGTTGGACCATGGGAAGTTCCACTCCAATGTGAGGAAGAACTTCTTTGGGGTGAGGGTGGCAGAGCCCTGGCAGAGGCTGCCCAGGGAGGGTGTGGAGTCCCCTTCTCTGGAGATCTTCAAGCCCCACCTGGATGCTCCGGAGTGATGTGCTCTGGGCAGCCCTGCTTTGGCAGGGGAGTTGGATGAGATGATCTCTAGAAGGTCCCTTCCAGCTCTGACAACTCCGTAATTCCATGATCTGCTACCCCTTGGGACAGAGCTGCTCCTGCAGAGAGGGGCTGTGGGCTCAGCACGGCCCCGCTCCCGGCTTCTTTCCCCAGCCAAGGGGCCCCGGGAGATGTTGGGGTCCTCCCCGTCCCCCTCGGGGTGCAGGGGCTGTGCATCCCCCCCCGGCAGCACGCTGGGGGAAGCGTGGGGCTGTTGTGGCTGCAGTAAAGGAGAGGGACGGGCAGGAGAGCCCAGGGCTCAGCTGCAGCCATTTATCTCCCAAAGCCGGGCTATTAGACAGATGACAGAGGGAGAGAGGCAGCCGGTGCAAGCACTGAGACCAAGGCTCCTTCTACTGGGTGATTTATCTCCTGGCTTCATCCAGCAAACTTGCTGATGAAAAGACTCTTCCCTTCTCTGTGCCTCATCAATTCTCATTCTCATTGCTTTCCTTTTTTTTTTTTTTTCTTTCCCCTTTCCTTGGGCTTCTGCCTCCTGTTCATGCAGCCACGGCGCTGCACACCCCGTCTCTCCTGCGCTCCCCGTCTCGTCTCCCTCTCCAGCCTCATTCTCTGATGGTCTTTATTGTCCCAGCCTCATTCTCTGATGGTCTCTTTGTCCTTTTCCTTCTCCTTTTCACCTCTGGTTCTCCTTCTTTGTCTCCCTGTGGTGCTTTCATTCCCCCTTAGTCCTTCTCCTTCCCTATTTCTCCGCCGTATCCCCCTCTCCATCCCTGAGCACGCCTGGCTGGGATGGAAATAGATTCTTTGGGCCCCCCCATCAGTGACAGCACAGATGATGGCGTGGGTTTGTGGCAAATTCAGGCCAGGGACATGTGGGGCAGGGACATGGACCTCCTTCCTGGCCCTGGCACTTTGTGTCTCATCTCCTTGGGGATCCCCTCTGGATAAAATCCTTACCAAAGGCAAACAGGGCTCCAGCTTCTTTGCAATCAGGCTCAAGGGAAGCTGTGGGGAAGGGGAGATGGACATCTGGGAGAAATCCTGCCTTGGAGGCAGAAGGCACAGAAATGCCTTAGGGGGAGGGAGGAATTTACTAAATTCTGGGAAACTATAGAAAAGGCAAGCAGCTTCCCCAGTGTGGGGACTGGGCTTGAGTCCTGCTGGGGAAAAAAAGGAAACTGGGGGTATTTTGCATTTCCCAGCGTGCCGGGGCACTGCAGCAAATGTTTCACCCCCCCCCACCACCCTTGGCTCTGCATTTTTGGAAGAAAAAAAACACCTCTGAGCAGAAACGTCACCCGGCTCCCTGCTGTCACCCTCGCCGTGCCACAGCCCACGCCGAGGAAGAGCCCGAAATAGCAGCCGGGGGCTGGTGGGGAGCTGGGATGGGGGGGTCCATGGCCTCACCGGAGCCCACCCTGGCTGTGGAGGGGGTGCTGGTCCCCAGTAGCCCCTCCAGCACCCCACGTCCCTGCTCTTCCTTGCTGTCCCAGTTCCTCTCCCTGGTTTCACCAAGGCTCCCGTTATCCCGGGCAGCATCTTCCCACCTCCTGGAAAAGCAGGAGCTGAGCCTGTCTTGGAGAGGAGATGAAATCTGGGCTCCCTGGGACACACCACTTAGCCTGGCAACCTCGGCCACGTCTCCAGCCTGATCTCTCTATTTGTTACCTTCAAACCCCAGGTCCCTCCGCTTTTTCTGTCTTATTCTGCACCCTGAGCCTTTTTTGGGGAGAAAACAAGGGATTTGGGGGACTTGGTCAGTGCTTTGGTGTTGCCAGGGAGTCAGGGATGGATGGGGAGGGTGGGAATTTGGGGTACGTGTGTGTGTACATGAACCACAGCAAAGATGCACGTGGGGAATCAACCCCACGTGAGCCCCTCGAAGACCCCCATCCCCAACCGCCTCCCACGGTGCCCCCCCTGGTTAGGGATGCTGCCCCATGGGGGGAGGATTTCAAACCCAAACAAAACCCCATAGAGTTAAAAGGGTGGCTGTGGGGGCTGCAGGGCTGCCCCAGTCCCCACCATCCATCTCTGGGGCGGCGCAGTAAGAGGCTGAAGGAGTTTGTGTGCTGCCTGCAGGCTTCTCCGGTGCCTAATTAAGGAATAATGAGCCTGACTTCACTGGGTAATGGATAAAACACAACCAGTGGGCTCCTGCCCTCTCCTTCCCCATCTCCTCAGTGCCCGTGGCTGAACTGAAGGAGGGTGCAAGTCCCTGGGGTGTCACCCTGCTGGGGTTTGTACCCACGCGCTGCTGATGCTCTTTGGGTTCGGTTTGCTCCATGCCATTTGAAACCATGAAGTGTGAAGTTCAGTACGCAGAATTTCCCCAAAAATGATGGTTTTCTGCAAGCTCTGGTCTCGTTCCTCATACAAACACCTGGACTGTTACAGCATCATCCTGTACACGAGGTTTTTCCATGGCCATCAGTGCCACAGCACTGTCCTGTGCCAGGAGAAGTGATAAAACCTGGTCAGAGCCACAAACCCCCTAGAGATACCACCCAACAGGGGCGTCTTCCCTGTAAAACAAGGTTTGAAACGAGGTGCTTTTTCTGGACTCTCCTTCACAGCCTTAAGGAAAAAAAAATAAAAAACAAACCACACCATTCCTCCATATTATTTTTTTAAGGAGAAAAGATGCTATAATATTTTAATGGCCGGAGAGATTTATAGTCACAGAAATGTCTATGCACTTAAAAAGAAAGATGAGGGTCCACCAGAAGGATGCAGAAATCAATACAACCTTCCTCTCCTTTAATGCTGTTTCTCCGGGAGATGGTTTAAAAGCCGATGCCCTCGCAGCAGGCGAGGAGGGAAGTGCGCGGGATCAATTCTGGCACAAGGCTCGGATGAGTCAATGCTGAATAAACTTTGGTTGGAAGCCCTTTATGGGGAGAACAAGGGGGTGATAAAATAGAGCTGCTCGGAGAGAAACTTTCTTTTTCCCACTCTGGCTGCTTTTTAATGTGGTTTTTCTTTGGTTTGTTGTTTTTTTTCCTGCTGCGTGAGAGTCTTTTAAGACAAGGAGAAGCTTTGGGGCTGGGTGTGATTTGGGTCAGCCTGGGTCAGGAGAGCTGCAGCAAATCAAAAAAATCAAAGGTGGAGTGATGGCCGGCTCCTCCAGCCCTCACGGCTGGACTGGGAGAGGGGCAGGGGGATACTGGGGGGCTCACTTTCATCACAGCCCCTCAGTGAATGCCCCACTGAGGAATCCCAACCCTTTTTCCCCAGAAAGGGTGAAAGACGAGGGGCCGAGGCCAGGGTCCAGCATGGGGGACCCTGCATCAGGTCCAGCATGGAGGGGGTTAAAGGGCTTCTGCATTGCCCCAGGAGCTTCTAATGAGCCCAATCAAGGTTTCCTGCTCCCAGAAAATTGCCACCACCCTGGGATAGTGCTTTAAAAGGAGCTTGGGGAGAGGTGTTATCCTGGGAGGGAGGTTTGTATGGAGGTCTGTGGCTGCTCTGGGTGCTGCAGCTCCATCGTGCAGGGGACTGTGCTCCCTCTTTCCCAAAAAATTTGCCAATTCTCCTCAGCATCAGCCCTCTGGGCCACCAGCTTCCCCCAGTATCGGCTAATTTAAGCCTTGCAGCCCAAGTTTGTGCAGAGGTAGGTGGGCTTACTGCTTTCCTCGTGTGGAAATAAAAGGGATGGGGTGGGTCTGGGATGATCTGTCCCAGCACAAAGCAAACTGAGGTCTGAGCTGGTGGTCCCTGTGCTGCTACGGGGCTTCAGCTAGAGATACCAAGAAAAAGGTCTGCTTGGAGGCACGTTTCCTCCATAAACCCACCAAGAAAAACACGTTAGGGGGCTGCAAATAGGGTTGGGAGCTCCTGGATGTGGGGAGGAAAACGGGCAGAAAGCAGAGTCCTGAGAGCCCCGAGGAAAGTTGTCCCCGTGGAGATTTTCTCTTCCCATGGTCTGCAGCTCTGGCTCTGCTCAGGGGGAAGCCTTTGGTCCATGGGCTGCTGGTGGCCCTGGGCAGAGCATCCGTGGGCTAATTGCACTCAAAACCTCTTGGGATGGGAGGGCACAGTTAATGCTGTGGATATAAAACAGTTTAAGTGGTCACATTGGTCTGTCTTGAGGCTGGGCAGGGTGTTGGGGGTCCTGTGCATGAAGCTCTGCCTCTCCAGCCTCTTTATTCTCTCCTTTGCCGTGTGTGGGAGGTCTCCTCTAACACAACCTCTTGTCCGGCCTCTTTCAGGAATGACCTTGAGGAGGGACCCGAAAGATGCAGCCGAGTGGGAAAATGAATCATCTGGGGAGGAAGAAAAGGGGAAGCTCTGACTGAAGGCACCAGCCCTGCCCCTGGGTGTTATGTGCTCTCGCCGGGGGGGACCAGGCAGGGCAGGAGGCAGCAGGGGCTGATCGGTACCAGGGGCTCTCATGGAGCATCTTCTCCCTCGGATGCTGTCCCCACCCGGCTGTCACCCCGTGCCCTGCTCCGGATGCTCCCCGTGAGCCTTTCCTGCCTGGGAGGAAGCTGGTCCCACCGGCCGAAAATGAGACGCTTCCAACCCAGCTCGCTTCTGCTCTGCGTGGTGGCCGCCACCGCCATCCCCATCGTGCCCTGGAAGGTGAAATGCCCCCCGCAGTGTGTCTGCCAGATCCGGCCGTGGTACACCCCCCGCTCGGTCTACCGGGAGGCTGCCACGGTGGACTGCAATGACCTCTTCATCTCCACCGTGCCCGAAGACCTGCCCGAGGGGACCCAGACCCTGCTGTTGCAAAGCAACAACATCGCCAGGCTGGAGCAGAGCGAGCTGGACTATCTCAGAAACCTCTCGGAGCTGGACCTGTCGCAGAACAGCTTCTCCGACGTCTGGGACTTTGGCCTGAAGAGCATGCCCCAGCTTCTCAGCCTGCACCTGGAGGAGAACCAGCTTACTGAGCTGCCCGATGGCAGCTTCCCCGGGCTGGGCAACCTGCAGGAGCTCTACCTGAACCACAACCAGCTCCGCAGGATCGCTCCCCGTGCCTTCTCCGGCCTCAGCAGCCTGCTGCGCCTCCACCTCAACTCCAACCTGCTGAGGATGGTCGACAGCCGTTGGTTCCAGATGCTCCCCAGCCTGGAGATCCTCATGATCGGGGGCAACAGGGTGGATGCGATCTTGGATATGAATTTCAGGCCCCTGTCTAACCTGCGGAGTTTGGTTTTGGCTGGGATGAACCTGAGGGAGATCTCGGACTATGCTCTGGAAGGGCTGCGGAGCCTGGAGAGTCTCTCTTTCTACGACAACAAGCTCGTGAACGTCCCCAAGCGGGCGCTGCAGCAAGTTCCTGGCCTCAAGTTCCTGGATCTGAACAAAAACCCACTGCAGAGGGTCAAGCAAAGCGACTTCACGAACATGCTGCACCTCAAAGAGCTGGGGCTCAACAACATGGAGGAGCTGGTGTCCATAGACCAGTTTGCCTTGATCAACCTCCCCGAGCTGACCAAGCTAGACGTGACCAACAACCCCAAGCTGTCCTTCATCCACCCCAATGCATTCCACCACCTTCCCCAACTGGAAACCCTCATGCTCAACAACAATGCCCTAAGTGCCTTGCATAAGCAGACGGTCAAGTCCCTGCCCAACCTGCAGGAGATCAGCATCCACAGCAACCCCATCCGCTGCGACTGCGTCATCCGCTGGGTCAACAGCACAGACAACCACATCCGCTTCATCGAGCCCCAGTCCACGCTGTGCGCCGAGCCCCCCGACCTCAAGAGGAGACACATTCGGGATGTCCCCTTCCGGGAGATGACGGACCGGTGCCTCCCTCTCATCTCCACCAAGAGCTTCCCTTCCCACTTAGAGGTGGCGGATGGGGACAATATCTCCTTGCATTGCCGAGCCCTGGCAGAGCCAGACCCAGAGATCTACTGGGTCACTCCCTCGGGGGTGAAGCTGATCCCTTATGCAGAAGATGGGCGGTACAAGGTGCAACCCGAAGGGACGTTGGAGATTCATGGGATCTCGGCTCGGGACGCCGGGCTCTACACCTGCGTGGCTCACAACCTCCTCGGGGCAGACACCAAGAGCGTCAGTGTGATGGTCAACCACTCCTTCCCGCTCAGCCAGGACAGCCTGGAGCTGGTGGTGGCGGATGTCCAGGCCTACCACATCCTGGTTGCCTGGAAGCCGCATCTCAACACCGTCTCCTCCAACCTCACCTGGTCCAGCTTCTTGCTCAGCTCCAACTTGGACATGACCAACGTGGCCCGCATCCCCATGGGGACCCACACGTACAACATCACCCGGCTCCACCAGGACACGAAGTACTGGGCTTGCCTCCACGTGGCCTTTGTAGACTCCCAGGCCAAGGTGGCTTGTGTGAACACCAGGACTAAAGAGGCTTCCCACCGCTACCGGCTCCTGGAGGGCAGGCAGAGCCTCCTGACCGTGCTGGTCCTCTGTCTCCTGCTCCTTGCTGCCAGCCTGGTGGCTCGCTATGGCATCGGGGCAGAGCCCAGGAGGGCCAGGGAGCTGCTGCGGGGCGCCACGGCCGTACGCGTGGTCTATCCCCCCCTCGCCCAGCCCTGGGCTTGGGGGCAGCGTGGGGGGCAGCTCCTGGCCGTGGAGGTACAAGCAGCCCCCCTGGACTGCTGAAGGTTGATGTGGTGGGGATGGGGTGGGGGGGCTGACTGTGGGGTGG